TTGAAATTGTATTTGTTTTCATTGGCTTTATGCAAATTGTAGCACTTTTCATCATCACAATATGTTTGCTAGCTTTATTCAATGTCTTTACTGTTTTTATTGTTCTTCATCTGATGCCTGGCCTGTTATGTCTGAACACTCAAACTCCTAAATTCTGTTTACTGAGTAACTACTTTTTATTTTATAACCGTCGTTGAACAGCCGATCCAACTTTATGGGTTTACGACTACTAATGTTCAACTCCGTAGACTTCTAATTTTGAACCCAATCCAGAAGACAAGGGAACTCCTGGATCGAATATTGGGAGAAATTTGCCTTCGTGGAGGACCTTTTGATTGAGTTACATGGAGAGGCAGACCAGGAGAACCTCCCACGGTAAGCCTGACGGCGAGGGGACTTTAACCCATGATCCGTCTACCACTGAAGATATTTCACGTCAGCACTGTGGTGGGTGCAAGCCGGATGCAGAATTCGTATCGACTGGGATTCGAACCCGGTTCGCGTCATTGGAAGGTGAACGCTCTATCCCCTGAGCCATCACGACTCGAGTAACTACTTTTGTTAATTTTAAGGTTTCACAAATTCTTTGCAGCTTTCTGGTTGGGGAGAGGTAATCTTTGGATCTTGGTGAGGTTGCTGCTCTGCGAGCGCGGCGCCTAACCTACATCACCCAGGGTTTTCCATGGAGTTGCATTTGCCTATCTTGTCCATTATTCCGACGTGTTGCCATGGATCGTCACCAAGCCTACCTTTGTGAATCCTCTTTTTTCTTGCTGAGTAGTCATGTGCTCACACTTTGAGTCTACATTATTCCCCGCATGCCCCCTGACTAGGGCAGGGCGGGGTTAAGCTTTGATTAGTAGTCGTAAATCCAAAAAATTGGGTCAGCTGTTCAACAATGGTTGTAAAATAAAGCAACAATATCTAATAATGGTTTCTTATTCGGACTTACCCCCTATACAAGTGAAACAGAAGTCTTATAGCTAAACACAAATGCTCTAACCACAATACGCAAGACTAATATCAAATAAACAAAGATTTTAATTGTTATTTTTTATACACTTTTATAAATGCATTTAAAAATAAATCTTTTTTTTTATTCTCAGAATAGACAACATAAAGATGAAATTTATAGGCTTTGAAAGTTACACGAGCTGGATAGTAACCATTGGAAGTTGCATCATCAACTGCACTTCTCAAACTCCACACAGAATAGCTGGATTGATGTATGTGTCGATTGTTGAGTACTACGACACAGACAGAGAAACAGCTTCACTTCCAATTCTGATTTATATCATTGTAAGATGTCTTGGAGGTACGTATAAATTGGTAAAATGCTATTTCAGTGAAAGTCAAAATGCCAAATAAAGGCCCACGTTGGTTTAGGAGGTTGATTACGAGACAAACAGAGAAAGAGCTTCAATTTCAGTATTAATTGTAATCATCATAAGATTTCTTGAAGGTAATGTTCATTCATAGTAATTAGTAGTAATGCTTTTTCAATGAAAGTTGAAAATGTAAAATTAAAGCATGCATGAATTTATGAGGTTAACTACCAGACAAACAAAAAATATCTTCAATACCAATATTAACTTTAGTCATTGTAAGATATCTTGAAAGGAAGTATGAGTAATGTAAAATTAAAGCATGCATGAATTTATGAGGTTAACTGCCAGACAAACAAAAAATATTTTCAATACCAATATTGTCTTTAGTCATTGTAAGATATCTTGAAAGGAAGTATAAATTAATAGTAATGCTTTTTCAATGAAAGTTGAAAATTTAAACTTGAAGCATACTTGGATTTATGAGGTTGATTAAGGGACAGACAAAGAAACAGCTTAAATTGCAATTTTGACTTGAGTAATTGTAAGATGTCTTGGAGATACGTCTAAATAAGTAATAGTCTTTCAGTTAAAGTTGAAAATACAAAATTTTAATCTATGTGAATTTATGAGATTCCATTAATAAGTTGTGTATCTAACGTATTTTTCCAGTACTATATCTTTGGTCACGTTAAAACTGTGAAGCAATATTTTAATCTTAAAAATGTTTGTATTTTCACTAAAGCTACATTAATAGACCATTAGCAACGATCTATGATGAATCATGATTATGATGATGATAATTAGAAGATATTACTGGAGTGCACTGACAACAGAACCAGAATTCAGATTTTAAAGGAAAAAAGTTCACATCCCACTTTTAAAATACATTTAATTTTAAAATGTACCTACGTGTTAGTATGAGAAATACTGAATCACCACAACGCGTAAACAATTTACACGGACAGGATAAAAAACAAACTATATGTATAAAAGTACATATTTGAACAACACAAGCTAAAATAAAACACATCAAGAGTAATTTTTGCGTTTGTTAAGAATAGTTTTAAATACTCTCCTACCCTGTCAACAAAAAGTAGAGACTAATTGGAAAAAGAACACTTCATTTCATTAATTTTTTCCAACAACCAGAAAACAATCTTCAAATATAAAATACAATTTCTCTGAAGTTCGTGTAAGTAAGTCTCCGTTATATGGATAGAAAAACCATCAAACCTTGACTCAATAGTAAACCCATGAATCGCCTTCCATTGGAGATATTTTGAGTCTGTGCTGTAGACTGAGAGGTGGCATTGCTGGAGATAGCTATTATTTTTTTTTAAAGAAACAAATGATTTATCTAGATTCTGCTAATTGTTTTAGTTTTAATTTAATAATTAATTAAAAAATTATTAAAAGCAAAAAAGATCAAGTTGCAAAATACCCCGCGAACTATTATTTTTTTTTAAATATTTAAATTCCATATTTTTTTACTGTTGCTTAGATACCTTTTTTTTCATATGTTCTTCTTAATGCTAAATAATCGAAGCAGCTCTGTTACTATATCTAAAATAACTATATTACTTCCGTCGAATCCGAAATCGTCTGTAAAAAGAATGTTTATGCAGGAAAAATATGTTTTTGTGTATGATTTCATAACCTAAAATATAATCTGATATAATTATTTAGCATACTTCTAGTTATGCCCTCGGAACACTAATGATTGAGTTGTAAAACTTTGACCATTACATCAAACGTTATGCAGGATGTTTTATTTCTTTATTTTGCACACAGCTCGTTATTAATTAGCAATATTTTAGTATGCATTACTCTCATTATTAGTGAACAAATTATTTTTAATTGAATTCTTAAGATTAAAAAGTAAGATTTTGTTTAAATTGAATAGTAAATTATAAAACTGATATCGTATTTATTTAAAGGGCCTTTTTGTGGAGTTTTGGGTGAAAAATTCAGTCCTGAGAACATAACAATATATGGGACAATCATTGCTTTCATTGGATTTGGAGTATGTTTCTTTGCACACAATATTATCAGTTTGTGCATATATTTAGGATTAATATATGGTAAGAAATATATTTTTTTACTGAGAGTAAAATGTATTGAGTAAATGTATTGCGAGTAAATGATTTTTTTTAAATTTACAATTTTTATTAAATTAAAAAAATCATTTACTCACAATTTAAATTTTTAACCACATTTGAATTTTTTAAATTTAAAATTTTTGATGACATATATGCGAAAGTTATGAATAGTACAAGACTGAGAACATTCGCGAAATAAACGCTGAAAAGTTTTGACGCTGAGGGAGTTTTAAAAATAGAATTTTTTTTGTATATCTCTAGTGGCAGATTAGAAAACAACTGTTGACAGAAAAACAAACAGTAAAATTAGAATAAGAAACAGTGATAACTGTAACTAAACTGAAGCTACAGTAAGTCTATAAATCGTTTATCCTGAGCCGGGCTCTCCAGTATTTCTCCCACAAGTGTTCTGAGTCCAGTATAAGGCAATAGCTCAATCGGTTCGTGTCCATTTCTCCACGAATGCTGCACAGTTGGCAGAGAGGACTTGAAAGGGTTTTCATTAACTCTAAATGCTTGGAGAGGCAATCGTGGGTAGTAGCGAGGAGAAAAGTAGGAACTGATTAGGCAATGGAATATTTGTGGTTTCCTCTATCCATTTCTTGTCCTTATTTGCCTCCCTTATATTACAACAAAAATTCTCTCCAATATGTTTTTTTAATAGCCGCTTGGCCGTATGAAAAGGAATTTGTCTTTTTGCTATTTGAGAAATTGTAGTTGCCATCTTTGCTAGGAAATCAGCTGTTTCATTTCTCTGTAGCCCACAATGCGCTGGACACTACTGAAATGTAACTTCTTTATGGTTTACAATTTTATCAAGGCTAAACAAATATTTAAAATACCAGTTGACATCGGAGCTTCAGATGAAGCAATGGTCAGGAGGGCAGTCCTAGAATCTAATAGGCCCTTGAAAATTTTTAATTTGACATTGTAATTATGACAAGGCGATTTGAATTGCCGAGATCTCCGCATCATAAGCTGCTTTTTATATCTTCCAACAGGAGTGTAAAATAAGAATAGCCTATAAGAGAATCCAGAACAAACGTTAATATAGTCAGTCGCCATCGAGCCACCTGTAAACACGTGCGTGCAGCCATTCATTATCTGGGTACAGTTCATGGATAGTCTCTAAATCTGCAGCTTTTAGTATTAAGTTATTAATTAATTTCTTAGGAACCTCATTTGACAAATTTGTTCTAAGTACGTACTTTCTTCCTTCACTCTGACAATGTGACTTGATGAGATTATCGTTTTTCCAGGTCAATCCTAGTTGTTCCTTTGTTTCGATAAATCTTTGAAGGAAACAATTTTAGATTTTAAGATTCCGAGTAGATGATGACAAAGGATTATTCCAAAAGGGAAGACAATCTAGTAGTCTTACAAACTTTTCCCATAAAATTAGTGCCTTATCTTCCATAACTGATTTAATGTTCAAATGTAGGGTGAATATCAAAAGCGCATCAATCGGGATTTTTTTAACAGCTCCCGTAATATGCAGAAGGGCTTGGTTTTGGAATGTTTTTAGGGAACCAACAACCTTTTTGCTTGCTGACACCTGAGGTTCGGAACAGTAAGTGAGAAGTGGCAAAATATAGGAATTAAAAATCATGTCCAGGGTAGTTCTACAGCTTCCCCACTTAGAGCCAGCAATTCTTTTTATTAAAGTAAGCCTCTTAGTTTTCAATATGTCTCCAACTTGCTCTTTCCACGTCAGTCAGAAATAACACCCAGATAAGCGAAGTAGTTGGTCTGAAGAACAGAGAAGTTTTGGTAAAGTTCAGCTTGATCGGTTGATCCGTGAGGTATGATATACAGTTTACGCTAAATTTATTTTCATATCATTGACATGATACCAATCAATTAATTTAATTAGAGCCTGATTAAAGGTAGTTTAGTTTGTTTTTTTGGGATTTTCGATCCAGACAACCAAATTGTTGTATAAAGTAGACATTTGACATTCATAATCTTCAGCAGCTCAAGAATAAGATCCTATATATATTCCATGTTAAAAAGTAAAGAACTAGTGACGGCGCCCGGAAGTTGTCCAGTTTTTAGGTTATTATAAAGCGAGAAGTTAATTTTTGAAGTGTAGTTTACATATACACTGCCAAAGAAAAATTCTGAACCATTGAAACATATTCGATTGAATACCAATGTTATACATCTTCAAAAAATGATTTCCTTGCAAACTATGTCATATTTAGATTTTAGATCTATGAAGTCAGCTAAAATTGTGTGTTTTTGTCCAACGCATCATTTACCATCTTTCTGAGAGGAGCAACATGTTGGTTGGTTGATCTAAACTGCCTAAGGCCTTCTTGTAAGCAACCATATGAAAATCGTTTATTCTTCTCTTTGCCAAGAAATCTGCTCTTTCATTTCTCTGAAGACCATATTGTGATTTTACCCAATGCATGGCAACTTCTTTTTCGTTTAGAGTAAAGATGTTTAGTAACTGGCAACATTTAAAAACATCAACAGATTCAGATAACAAATATCTTCAAGGATCGCTTTAGAGTCATATTATAATTCTATTATTATAATTAGCATTATTTATTTTTAAATTTTATTTAATGATTTTAGCATTCAAGTTACTCGAACTGCCACTATATAAAGAGGGGTTCTAAAACATAGGGGAATTTCATTGTTTCAAGGGGAAATAGAGCTTAAGTATTTTTACACTTTCAAATCAACTTAATTAAGCAACATAGGGGGCATCCTGTTCTCATTATCTTAATTATTTTTTTTAAATTACCTTAAATTCCTTTGAAAAAAAATTTTTTAATAATATTTTACGACAATAAAGAACGTGTTTTAATCATTTTTTTAAAAAAAAAAACGTTTATGTTGAGTAAGAATAAATTCCATTTAAGAAATATCAAGAGACGAATACAATTTTTTTTAAATATATTTGCTTTTAATTTATTTTAGAATTTAATACTTTTTCTGTTTTGATAAATATTTTTGTTAAAGTATATTTAGTTATTAAAAATAAGCTCTTTCCTAAAATAGTTAATAAAGATACAGATATGCTTATAATTAAAGTTACATAATTTGTATTTCGTTACAGGTATAGGTGCGACAGGAAGTAATACATTTCTTCCAACAATAGTAAAGAAATATTTCAACAAAAATATTAACTCAGCAAATGGAATCTCTCAAGCTGGATCGTGTTTGGGAGCAATTCTTGTTCCGCCCCTTGCTGTATTCCTTCTAGACAAATATGGTTTACCTGGGACGTTTTTAATTATATCAGCACTTATGTTTCATTCGGTACCAATCAGCATGCTCATCCAAAAAGCAGGTTTAGTACAAGATAAAATCATTGAGAACATAAGGAGGAACAATGAGCTTGTCCACCAAGAGAAGTTACGTGAAAAAAATGAAAATTCTCCGCTTGACTCGAATAATAGTACTTCGGAGAAAATATCTATAAACAATAAAACATCCTTTTCTGACTCAACTAACAAAATGACAGAGATGAGAGTAAACAATCAGAAATCTCTTCCTGATTCAGAGGATATTAATGTATCAGAGCAGCTTTCTATAAACAATCATAAACCTCTTCCAGATTCTGCTGTTACAATATCAGAGCCGTCTAGAAGATTAGAACTTGAAAAGGGAAAGTTAGAAAACACCATTACAGTTTTTAAAGGTACCGAAGCTGATAATGAAACTAATGATTACGATCTAAGTAAAGAACAACCCGATGGTATTAAAGATAATGATAGTTTAGATACTTCTAAACTCTATCTACAGTCTCGCGTGTACAATCATTCAGCTTTTGGAAAAAGTTGCCCAAGTATCAACAATCAAGGCAATGCGAATCGTGAGACTAATAAATTAAACCATGGCGCTGAAATCTCAAACACATTAGAAATAAATGAAACTGTTATGCAGCCTCAAGATTGCAGCGGTGATTCTGATGGCAACGATGCTATCAAAACAAGCATTCCTTCAGAAATGAAGATGGTTTCGTACATACATTCCGATTTAGTAAATAATCCAAAACTACCTGATATGACACAAAATAAACAAATGATTACAACTTGCGTGGTTGCACCGATTGAGAATAGTCCAGAAGTGTCAGCGATTTCAAACAGATCACACAATCCAAAGCCACACAAAAAAAGTAAATTTGCTTTTTTTAAAGTGTTTCTGAACCTCCCCTTTTTAATTATAATGTTTTGCACTGGTATACATAATTATGTGACAGTTCTAGTTTCAAGGGGAAATANACATCAGTGTAGGGTATACCGAGCAAATGTATACCGGACAAATGTAAATGTATGGCCCGATACTCCAAACACTGATGTTTGTTCTAATCTATCGTCAGTAAGTATTAAAATATCGAATAAATGTAATTATATCCACGAATAAATTAATATCAAATCGAATGTAACAAATATTTCGGACATTCACTAAAGCGACTATGTGATTGTTGACATTCACCGGTGAAAGTCAGAAGTAAGGGTTTTTAGCAAATATTTCGGACATACACCAAACGACTAGGTGATTGTTGACATTCACCGGTGAGTGTCGGACATTCACCAGATTTCGGTCATTCACCGTAACATATACTTGACAAAAGAAAACACGCGTTTTGTTTTATTAATCTTATTGGATGAGGCAAATCATGAGATTTTTTTAATAAACATAGAAGCGCATTTTTCGATTAGCAGAGAAGTTGTATACAGTTATTATAAAAGTAAGGTAATCATTTTGATCTATTTAAAAAACATTACCTTTTTACTTATTTATTAATGAAGATATATGATTTTGCTTTCCTATTAAATTATTTATTTCATAAAGCAGAGTTTGCCAGGTTAATTGCATTGCTTTAATGCTGTGATTTTTTTTAAAAAGACATCGTCATATTTTTAAGATGTAAAATTCTTCATCAAATGAAAATAATAGAGATGAGTCTTCGTCAAATAAGTCCATATAAGTAAATAATTCTTCGTCAAATGAGAATAATAGAGATGAGTCTTCGTCAAATAAGTCTATATAAGTAAATAATTCTTCGTCAAATGAGAATAATAGAGATGTAGCAAGCATTATTTTTCGATTTTTTTTTTGCTGTTGAAAATATTACACTAATACAATTCTTTTGTAACGGCATTTTCAGAAAGGTGTTTTAATATTTTAAAATAGACTATCTGAGTTTAGATGTACAGTAAAACCTGTTTTTGTGCAGTGGATAGGGACCGCATAAAAGAAATCGTACAAAAAAAATATTCGAAAATTTTATGACTTTTACATATAAAAACGACTTTGTACGATATACAACCTAAAACTTTTTTTATGCGGCGCATAGGGACCTCATAAAAAAAAGTCGGACTCAGAAAATACATCAATGGTTCATGAAATAGATATGAGAATGCTTTCTATTAAATTAAATAAGACCCAAAGAAATTGTAAAATTATTTAATTCTTCATTGTACGTATACATGGAGAAGTTTTCAAATTATACATTAAATAGTTTGCTGTTACTCGTCGTAATCCAAAACGCGCATCTTCTTGGAATGAATTGGTTGAAAATCGCTTTCGTCGCTTGATTTCAATTGATTTGTTTTTTGGTACTGTAAAGTCAGTGATCAGATAAAATAAAATAAAAATCATAAAAACTACATATAAATGGAAACAAAAGTAATTAATTCATTTACCTTTAATCTCACTATAAAATGAATCCTTAATCACATGAATCGTGTATAAAACTCTGAATACGAAGCGTATAGTATTTGAGATACGCGCAGACGAGAATTTACAAAATAAAAATAACGGTTTAATTTTAAAATACTATGTATTTTAACAGAGCAGGCGATTTTTTACTGATTTACTTCAACTTTTTTAGCATAGAATAAATTTTAAACAGAAGAGAAAATGGAGTTGACGATAATAAATGAACTAATGAAAGTAAATAAACAGAGCATCACGAAGTTCAGATACATCGATGTCAAGGAGACCACGTAATCAGAGTTCGTCCACAACATGTATATGCACATTGATGGGAAACATTAAACTGGTGCTAACACCGCTAAGATTCATATACCGCGTAAAAATAAATCGCACAAAAAAAAATCGCTCAAAAAATAAAATCGCACAAAACCAATCGCACAAAAATAAAATCGCATAAAAAAGGACCGCACAAAAACAGGTTTCACTGTATAAGTTTATTGCTTTAAATTAAAAAAAAGTTCTTAGTTTTAAAAGATGTCAAGTCCTATTCCTTCTAATATAGTTGAGCGAAACCTTGATCTCCTACCTTTTTTTAAAGGTATTCAAGTGTCAAAAAAATTTTTTTAAATATAAACAACGAGAAAAATCGATTCAAATACTTTTCAAGGAATGCGAGACACTGAAGAAAAAAAATAAATGTCCTTCATTTATTTTAAGGATGAGAATATGTGTAGTGTCTGCGTCGTAATATCGTAAGGATTTCACATTACCTACAATACTTAGGAAAAACTTATATGGTGAACCAAATTTTAAAATAACAGTAAAATTAGCCAATGATGTAATATGCTGACTGCATAATATAAAATTAACCCATGTCCAAACTAGAATTTAAAAGCCAGTTGGAAAAATACGTAGAATAGTTTTTTACTAACAATATTTGAACCACACATATTATTCAAAAACTTAATGGAAATTTTAAATAATTATCAGGTAAATATATTTTAACACCTGCGTACTTGCAACTCGAGCAAAAGGGAAATGCCTAACCATGTGATTTAAATCAAATTTAATTAGATACCTGCAATTGAAATCACGTGTGTATGTCGAACCTGAATAGCTTATTAATCTACGAATGCCACAATTGACCTACGATGACGTCACTTGCAGGCATCCAATAAATTTTCTTGGTTGAGACTAATAATACAAATTCAGGGCCGGATTAAGCGCACGCGGGGCCCTAGACCATTCAAATTTTGGGGGCCCTTAGATGAATTTTTTTTCTCGTATATTTTTTATTTATATAATAATACTTATAAATATTAACTAAAATAAGTAATAAAAAAATGTGATTAACATTATGTAAAAAAAATTATTGTATTTTAATAATATATATTTGAAATTGATTTTTTTTAAAAAATCATTGTTCTGCTTATTTTTTTTAAAATATATTTTCAAAACCTCCATTTCAAGGGGGCCCCTAATCATTGGGGGCCACAGGCCATGGCCTAGTCTGACTTAATGGGTAATCCAGCACAGTACAAATTTAATTAAATTAAATTTAATACAAACATGATAATCTTTATTTGTATCAAAACTTTCTGTAAACATAGTATTAAAATACTTATCGTTATTCTCATGTTGAAAAATTAAGTCATATAAATAATACTTAATTGTTTTTCAGGATTTTTCAGAGAAACTCATGGATCATATGATGGATTTTACATCTTGTTAATAGCTTTGTGCATATTGTGCGCAGTTGCAATGCCTTTGTTGCACAGATTTTCCCAACGTGGCATAAAAGTAGAGACATGAGGCTGATTTTGAAACTACAGAACATGTAATAAAAATATTCGAACATACTATTTTTACTAGGTGATAATGATCAAAGACTTATACGTGAACTCTAAAATGGTGTACTGATTTTTTTCCAAAGTCAGACCATTCTTGGAAACCACGTTTTTCCCCTAATAATAGTAATTTAATAAAAATATTTCGAAGATTTTATTGAAAAGAGTAAGAGATGCACAGTTTTCCTTTTAAAGTGATGAAGACATTGTTCATATACTAAACCAATAAACAAACAGTAAGAATATTTTTTTAATTACCGTCCCTGGCCAAATTACTAGACACACTATTAGATTCTATGTAAAATCTTAGTTATCAAGTGATACTATACAGCTTTATTGTTTTTACGCGACTGTAAATGGTTTGCACTTGCTGAAGTTCGTGTATCAATTGTTTAAATTAGACGATATATTATATAAATATGGAATATTTATTATATCAGGTATTATATTAATATATTATAATAATTAAATCAAATTATTAGACTCAGTGTGGGATTTTAATAAATACATGTTTTGCACGAGTTTATTATGCAATACTTTTATATTTAAACATACATCAAATGGGTTTTTATTCAAGAGATTTTTCATATACTTGCGATTTCTATTTATTTTTAACGTATTTCATTACCATGTTAACCAATTGATACACGAAAGTAAACAAGTGCTAACCGTTTTCAGTAGCGTAAAAAGAATAAAGCTGTATAGTATCTTACATAGAATTAATATTTTACATAGAATGTTATGGAATCTTATCTTGCGTCGAATAATTTGGCTGGTATTTAATTTCATGATAATATCTGTATGATACTGTATTATTTTATTTATTGACTCAAACCATTGCACGCATTGTTTTTATTTAATGCAACGACATTTTCTTTAAATCTATGAAATAAAGTATTTAGAATGATTTGCTTTAATTCTGAGTCATTTACAAATCTTTTATTTTTTTTAAATACTTATGCTTTCAGACATTCGCATAGTTTTGTTAAAATTTCCATTGCATTAAAACAAAAAAGACTGTTATAAATATTTAAAAAAAATAGTTTTAAAATATAAGTCAAAGATTTCGTCATACAATGTATTCTGCAGAAGTGAGTTAACTATCAGGTTGCAAAAGATACTAGTTCATTCCTTCTATTTTGATCAATCTATTTTTGTTAAGAATACTATTTATACCCTTTTAATTTTTTCAAGGTAACTAAAAAATTATACAAGAATTGGTTATTTAAATCAAAAGGTTCCTGATTTTTTTACAATGTAGAATAAAAAAAGAAAAACCCTTAATTAATCATAATTTAAGATTAGCCAATTTAGGAATTCAAAAAAATACTCGTTTTAACACGCCAAAAATATATTAAATACACCAAAAATACGGAGTTTAAGCCATCATAATACACATCAAAACATGATTTTATATGAGATGAGAGAATTTTTTTTTATTTAATTACAGCAGATTTTTTTTTTTAATATTTGAACAAGATTGGTCACATAATACCTGAGAAATCAAATTTTAAATACATGATTTTTTAAAATTTGATTTCTCACGGACAATTCGATCAAAAATCATAATTGTGTGTAGAAACGTTTCGATTACCGAACAAAGAATAAAATTACCATTTAGTAAAAAATAAGGTAAACAAATGGCAAAATACGCAAGAAAACAAATTCAACTTTCGACAATCTTTCCAATTTTATAAACTTTCTACCACACTCCCGGTCAAACTATTGGGGCTATATTTCCGAAAATTTAGAAATCCAAGTATATAGAAAAAAGACATGTTTATTCATCGAAAGTACGATTTAGTGTCTGATTTTGTAACTTAAAATACCGTTTGAGGTAATTATTCAGTATATTTGATCACATCCCCATCGAACCATTAAGATTGAGTCTTAGTGCGAGAAAATTCAATCATTAGATCAGAAGTTATTAAAGGTGTTCTGTTTCTTTCTTTTTTTTTCCTTTGAGCACTGTACATTCTGTTTTCATTCTAAATAAATAACATGAATTTTGAAAGAATTACGTGTCTATGAAAGCTCATTTAACACTAATTTTATCCAAAAACGAGTATTTCTAATTTATATAACGTACTATTTTTAGGATGTATATTTTATGTATGCACTATTAACTCATTATAATCACTAGTGTACATTGTCAAACTATGCTTATATGAAAAGGACATTTTAAAAAAATAATTTAGCAATGGCATTCCTATTTAAAACAAATACAGTGCAATACCAAATACAAATATTCTATTATTTTAAAGTTGAAATACACCTTAACCTTCAAGCAGACATTTATGATATTTGCCAGCTAGAAATATAATCTTCCCAACTCTCACGTGGTAATTAAGTTGAGAAAGCCCTTTCCATATGTTTATTAATCATTCGTTAAAAAAATGTAGAAAAAAATAAAATGCTACAAAAAAAGTAACAACTAGAGGTCACTAAAAAAAGACGTATTTTGTAGTCCTTTTCCTATTTGTATGGCGCTAAAAAACGGCTGAGCAATTGAAACTAGTTATATAAAATGTATGTTATTTTTAAACAGATTTGATGATGATTTGTGTTTAACAAAAATTTAATCAGCATATTTAATTCAAATTGTTTTCGAACAGGGTAAGTTATTTTTCTGTAAATTAGGTTTTAGTTATTTTGCTTGTTATATTAGTAATGAAAACAGGAAATCACTAAGATAAGAACAACAATCATGTTCATAATCAATAGAATGAAAAATCATGTTCAATATCATGTTATGTTCATAGTCAATAGAATGAAAAAATAAAAATCTGTTTCATATTTTACTTTTTTTCATAATGATTAATAAAACTTATTCATTTAAAATACTTTATCAATCGTTTTAATTTAATATTCAAAAACACGACTAAGTTTGTGACTTAGACTAAGTTTTTGACTATTTAAATAACACTTATCAGAATTTTATGAAAGCTATTTATTCAAACAATGACAGTTTTTATTAGAAATGTTTAATTTTTGGACTTTCAGCTTACAAAACAACAAATATAGAGTAAATTCTAAGAAGTAAAACCTATGTATTTACTGTCGTTAACTAATATTAACTAATAGTGTTGGATCTAACTTATTTACGTTTGCCGTTAAAATACAAAATATATAATACTAAAACAAAAACACGTGTATGGAATTAAATAATCTGAGAGTTATGAAAACACACAAATGTTGGAGATCTATTTTGAGTGATGTGAATCTAACTTAATCATATCTGAACTCAAGATAAAAAAAAGTTCTCAAAATATTATACATCTTGATATCTAGACCTTTTTTCTATCTTTGCAGTAAATTACCAGTGGTCTGGATAACAACAACAAAAAATTCACTAGTGTAGTATCTTAAAGTTGATTATCTAAGTTTCAAAGTCTTTAGTTAAAATTAATTAAAACATGATAAATATGCTATTTTTAGAGTACAATTTTTATATTATTTCGACACAGCATCAAACTTGGATAAGAAAAAGAATAAATTAATATTTTCTATGAAAACATTAAGTATTGTTTATCAAGCAGAGGATAGAGCATTCGCCTTCCAATAGGGAGACCCGGGTTCGAATACCAGCTATGGTTAGCAGATACGAATTTAGCATCCGGCTCACATATCCTCAGTGATAAACAGATCATGGGTTAAAATCTCCTTACAGTTAGGCTAACCCAGTGTTTCCCAAACTTATGACTTTTGTGCACCCTTTCTAAATTTTTTGTACCGCTAATAAGAAAATGAATGTATTTTTTACTATAAAAAAATTGCACAAAAGTTAAAACTCTCAACTGGCTGTTGACACCACTAATTATTAACTGATAACTCTGCAAATCAAATCTGGTTCAAATACCATAAATTATGAAATTTGAAACTAAAAAGGAAAAAAACAGTTAATTTTAAAAAAATGTAAAACTGATAATGGTGAAAAATAATTACATTTTGTAAATCTAAGAAGGAGAAACTAGTCAAGGTCTGTGTATATACTGATATAAGATTCAATGCTTAGAAATAACAGATTCAAATGCAAAAAACACTGATTTAAAAATTAGTATTTAGCAAATTTAGAAAGTTGTAAATTACAAAAAAAATGGGTTCATATTATTGTAACAGGTTCATATTATTGTATTTGAAGTTTTAACTCTCATTTATTAGGAGCTAAACTCATCTTTCTAAGAGCTTTTATTTACACTGCTAACTCAGTTTAGCTTATTTCTCGTGTTTATGAAAATTATAAATTGATACATTGAGGTCAATTGCCTGCATTGTGCCGTTTCTTAAAATCAACTTGGTCGATCGTAACATCATTGTTACATGAACATTTTATAGGCTTACAAATACTGTTACTATATTTGTATAGTACAAAAATGTACTATCACATTTTTTCATGCTATTAAACTACTAATATACGTAACACATGCTCTACTTATTCATAACAGATATTTTGAGGATAATAAGATTTAGGGAGCAGGTGTTATGAGCTAGCCAACAAGTTTCCTAAATCGTACTACTTGCAGACTTTGCTAAAATAACTTTTATTACTTACTTCCAAAATATTTTTAACAAAAAAATAATATAAGTGACTACATTTTATTATTAAAATATTTCAAATATAATTATCAGTGATCTGTCACTGATAAAAATTTAAATCTAAAAAGTGGTACCTCTTTAAGAACATAGTGTGGGAAGCCTTTATTATTCAATTTCATAAAATGCACTCATTATAATTTTAAAAAAATTCTATATTTTAGGAGTAAAAGTAATTTTATATTTTTTTTTCTAAATCTAGCAATACAAGACTTTCTTAAATATTCATATTTCATGATAAGAAACACCGATAAAAATATGAATTTGTCTGAAATTTTTTTTTATGGTAATTCAATATTTTATATAGAAATAACTATATTATAATATATCAATTAAAGTACTTAAAGCCGTTAGTTTCAATGCGGGTGTGATACATTTTTCTTTAAAATTTAATTTCATATTAATTTTTAAACGTCATACTTATTTTCTTTAACTTCTGAAGTTTGATTAAAGGATTTTACATATTGTCAGGTGAAAAAAGTGGAAATATTGCAATAAAAACAGCAAATTATTATTTTTCAGCTACTTTTTAAAAGTATAAAAACATTAGGTTAAAAGAAACTGACACAAAATTTGTTTTTTTGCAAAAGGTATCTTTACAAAATAGCATAACATTTCATTTTGGAGAAATAACTAGTCATTTTATTACTTGGAATTTAATATGAAATTCCTTTTTTTTTTGTTAAATATACTTTTATAATGAAATATAACAAAAATTTATTGCTGTTCTTTTCCGGCAGTGAAATCAATGAAATATAAAACTAAGTGAATCAATTCTCGTAACAAAAATACTTAAATGAAATATGCTTTTTTTAAAAATTTAAATAAAAAAAATGTGTTTTATTAAAAAATAAAACGCATTTAAGAATAATTAAGAAACATTTCATAAAATTTTAATGCCTTTCCTGTCCTATAAAATTTCTGAAACCAGAACGCTTCATGTTAGACACACAATTTAAATACAGAAAAGAAATTGTGCATTTTAATGTGTGTCAATCAAATCCATTAATGTAAACAATTTACAGGTTCTTTTTGAAAATCAATGAAGATCATTGGCTACGAAAGCTATACCAGTTGGTTCGTGACAGCGTCTTGCTCTGTCATATTTTGCCTCATCGGAGCTCCATATCGCATCGCTGGACTGTTGTTTGTTTTAATCGCAGAATATTACGAGACAAATCGAGAAATAGCTTCCATACCTATTCTTCTGTTCTTGTTAATTCGATGTTTGGGAGGTAAAAGCAAACTTTTTGTAGTTAAAAAAAAGTTAACATAATAGAGTGATTAGAGGTGAGGAGATCTGCCGTGCTTTACTGTGGTCTTTTTCAAAACATTTCCTTCAATATTAATGCAATTTTTTCCCTCCCGCATAATTTCCGAAAACAGAACTGGTTAAAAAACCAGAAGTATTATGTTATGTATAAAGTTTAAAAAAAAACATATATAGGAGAGAATGTTGTACCTACTAGTAAGAAATTCTTCATTCAGAATACGCAGTTATAATATTTTCATTATTTTTTTATTTTTAATAATTATTATTTTTTTATAATCAGTCCTTATAATATTTTATACCGCGACCATCTGATGTCTTCTGGACAACTTCAAATGATCCAGACCTTTGCAAAAGGACCTTTTTTTAATTTCTGGGTTATTTTTTTCCTCACCAATTTCATTTTTAAATAAAACGCTCTAATACTTTCCTTGAAAAGTACAACTGAAGACGATAAATTTCGAATTATAATTCACAAGATAGAATGTCGAATTTTCTTAAGGAAAAGTGACCTTTTTTGGCTAAACCAAGCAAAATTAAAAAAGTGTGCTTCGGTTCAGAACTGAACCCTTATGCTTGCAAAAGGCGCTTCTGGACTCCAGTTAGCTTATAAAACAGATGTAATTCCTTTTGCGCATGACATTTTAATGCTTTTGATAAATTTATAGATTTTGAATTATTAACATAAAATGTCATTTGAAATAACGTTTATGAATCAATTGATAAATATTATTTTAAACAAGCTTTTTGAAAATTTTATTAAAAACAAACCTAAATTACAAAGAAATCCACCTTCAATCAACTTTCAAAATTAGAAAACAAGAATTAAAAATTAGTACTATCCAAGTCATAGCCGACAAACTTTCATGGTACACCTCATACGATAGTACAAGGCATAAAACCACGTAATACTTTCAACATTTTTTGTTTCTGAAGTACGTGATATTACATTCTGCATGAAATAAATGTGTCGAAATATCAAAGTACAACAATCTCCCCTAAATTATATGTTATAAATCATGTAATCAAATTCATTAATTGAAGCAATTTACAGGTTCTTTTGAAAATCAATGAAGATCATAGGGTACGAAAGCTATACCAGCTGGTTAGTGACAGCCTCTTTTTCTGTCATACTCTGCCTCAGCACAACTCCATATCGCATTGCTGGACTGTTGTTAGTCTTAATTACAGAACATTATGATACGAATCGAGAAACAGCTTCCTTACCTATTTTTCTGTTTTTGTTGATTTCATGTTTAGGAGGTAATAATACTTTTTGTTCTTAAGAGAAAAGTTGCCTTAATAATCGTTTCTATGAAAAAAAAAGAGAGTTATGAGAATATGATGATAAGCCTCTGTTCAAAAGAAACGCCACTGGGAAATTTTTCTACAAGTTCAAACTTGCTTTTTGATAAATTTTTACATGATTGCTAATTACTACATTAATGCATGTAAGCTAACTCAACTATATTTTCTTACAGCCCATGATATTTCGGTCACGTTACTTTGGTCCTACCATTTCGATTCCACCGTCTCAAACCTGTTGCCATTTCGTTCACTTCCCAATTCAGCCCCATTGCTAATTCGATTCGTCTATTTTGATATTGACACTCCACCGCATTGCCGGCCAAGTGACAGAGCGGTCAGAGTGCCCAACTGTGAAGCCAATGGTTGTGGGTTCGAATCCGGCACAGGGAATGAATCTTCCGAGGTGAAGAACGAAAGTTCAGTGCCTGCCGTAGAAAAGAAAACATTCCATCGCATTTCTAATTATTTACATAACGGTGGCTATATTTCAATGACTCTAAACATATTTTTTTAGTTTATTAAATTATTTATTTACAGTAACAGAAAATCAGGAATTTTAAATCGTTAAGAAGTATTTAAAAATTATTAAGTGAGGGAAATAGATTTGTTTTTAACTCTTTTATTCTCATCCGAAAAACGTATGAAGTCCAAAAATAGACATTTAATATGTGAGAAAAACTTCGCTTAACTTTTTTTTCTCGAAAAAAAGTAAAATTTAAAGTGTGTATGTTTGAATATGCTGTACAGTGAATGTTTTTGAATGAATTTTAAATGGTGGATATCGCACAATTATGTTGAGGCTATAAATCTGAGAATGCAAAACGAGCTTCAACGTGGCTCATCCAACAATATGGAAGTTCATTAAGGACATTAAAAAAGCCTATAAAAACTTTACAAATACTTTAACATAAAAAACGATGGAAATTTATATTAAAAAAAGATTAGAAAATTTTGAAATCTAGATTTTCAATAAAAAAAAAAACTTATGACAATCGAACACTGTCTATATTAACGAGGGAATGAAACTCACTGCTTGAACATACTGAAAAAAATACCAGACAACTGGCAAGAAAAATGAAATAAACGGTAATTTTTACTTTCAGCAGAACAATGATGATAACGGCGTACATTATTAGGCTAGGGTTGTTTTACAATGTGACAAATCAGCTTCGTACCCCTTCCCAGTCATCAGACTTAAACCCTATAAGGCATCTAGGGGCACTTATATACTATAACGGAAAATCAAAGAACGTAAAATTAAATTAAAATAAATGCTTCAATCTTTTACGGAATCATGAGGGGGGGGGAATTGTGCAGCGAAGCAAAATGTAAGGTAAAACAAAAGGAGTGATAAAAATTTCGCAAAAAAAACAACATTTCAAATAAAAATAACTTTTAAAGTTCATAGATAATCATGGCCCTTTCATAGAAAATTTCAAGCTGCATTCCTGTGGCATGTAGAGCGCTCGTATAATATAAGCTGCCTACAAGTTTATTACTTAATAACTCTCTAACTAATTATTGAATGCTAATTTTTTTTATTCCGTTTTACTCCGTGTGGAACTTTTAACGCACCCTTGTAGTTTCAAGTTTCTAAGTCTTTCATATATATATATATATATATATATTTGCGCAAAATCTAAACAAAATGTAACGTTAACTTGAACACCCAAAACAGCGGTGGTAATATTACGATTCTTTGATGCAGAAAGATATTAAAACTATTTCTGAACTTATCAATTTCATTTTTTTCAGGTCCTGTATTTGGTGTTGTAGGGGAAACGTTTGGTTTGGAACTAGTTACTATTGTTGGTTGTGTGCTAGCAGCTATTGGTTTTGGAACATGTTTTTTCGCTTCAAATATTGTTGGAATGAGTTTACTATTGGGAATTGTTTTTGGTTAGGAAAAATTTCTTTTCTATAATAATGTATTGATACCTATACAAGTTGTTCCGGTAATTAGTACTGTTAATGTATATTTCTAGAGTTTCCGTAAACGATAAAACAAAAAATCTATGCTAATTTACGATATCACATTAATATTTAAGTGAGAAATAAGAAAGTAAATCTAATTCCAAATTTTTATCAATCTTTACTGATTTTTGAAAGAGCAGAGAAGGGATTAAAAACCAGTTTATTTGTCTTGTAGGAATGGAATGTATTTATATGTATATATACTAGGGGGCTAAGCTCCCTGCACGCTACCCCTCACCGACCCCGATGATTGCTTCGCAATAATTGCTTTTTCTTAGCAGAAAACAATTTTTCTATTAAAATGCTAAAATTATTCACTTAACATATATGTACTAAAAGGAATTCTGTTTGCTAACGCTTGCGCTTCTACTTCCCAAGTTCAAATATTACTATCAATTAGTATTATAAACATTTAGATCTCTTGGTGAACAGAAGTGATTTTTCATGATGAAGAAGTAATTTTTTAAAGTAACATTTATATTCTTACAACATTATACTGTTCAAACAAATTTGATGAGTTCACAACCATAATTTAAATTTTTCGCTAATAATAGCAGTACTTGAAAATAACTTTTATATTTCGTTTCATATTCATATATCCTTAAAATTATTATTAATTTATAACGAATTTATTCAGCATAAACAAACTTTGTGCTTCTTTGTAGGAGTTGGACTGGCATTCAGTACTGCACTTGCCCCAAATATTATCAAAAAACATTTTACAAGAAATTTCACCACGGCTAATGGCATCGCCCATGCTGGATCATGCGTAGGAGCACTTTTTATTCCACCACTAGCAACCTTTTTAATAGATTTATACGGAGTTTCAGGTGCATTTTTAATTTTATCAGGTATCATGCTAAATTCTATTCCTGTTGGAATTTATATACACTTAGCTGGTGCTTTGCAACATAATCTAATTAAACATCAAGCTAATGAAAACACACAACTTAATTACGATGTAGGAGATTATGAAAAAAAGCTTAAAATCAACAATCAAGCAAATTCAAGTAACATCAAATATGAGGAAGACACAGAAACTGATGTAACTGAAGGCCAAAAGGAGGCCCATACTGCAGCATCCTTAAACCACAAACTTAGCGAAGGAAATTTAAAAAACCTTGCAACATATGAAACCAAAACAGAATCTGCCACAAAATATGCAGTTAACCTTGAATTCCAAACTCAAAATAAAGAGGATAATAGAAGTCTGAATACGGTCTCGGAGGAAAAAGAAAACGTGAGAAAAACCTCTATCATTATGCCTAGTTTGCCTCTAACATCGATTTTAAAAGATAAACAAAAGAAAAATCTATATGGCTTCAGTGTCTTTAAGGAGTTATCATTTTTAATGATGATGCTAAATATAGGATTGGCGACTTATGTTACAACATTATTTTGGACAACTATGATAGATTATTCTAGAGACAAAGGCATTTCAAGAGACTTGGAGATTTATTTCCTAATGCTACAGCCATTCGTTGACTTGATTGGTCGAGCTTGTTTTGGTTGGGTGACTGATCTTGGCTATTTAACATTGTCAAATTATGCAATACTGTGCTACGGTCAAATGGCTCTTTCAATGTTTTTTATAATGTGGACATCTCGTTTTGGCATAATGATGGCAGGAGCATGTTGGTATGCACTAGCTTCAGGTGCAATCACGACTGTTTACCCGGGAATGATTTTTAAGTGTGTTGATAAAGATCACCAAACGATGGCAATTGCATCCAGATATTTGTTATATGGAGCTTTAGTTTTAACGTCATCCCCTCTCATAGGTAATTTTAATAATTTCTTTCTGTAACACATAAGAATATATCGCTTATGGGCTGCAATAGTGGCACAACTCAAAAAACACACGAGTTTTGGACCAAGAACAGTGAAAATATTAAAATACACATTCTTTTCAACGCAATACCAGCACAACTCATAATTCAACTTGAAGGTAATCTTCGTTTAAGCAAACTAAAGCGTTTCTTATGCATTTTCTTTAGCAATGAAAACCTTAAACCCACTTATCTCAAAACATGATTTTTTGAGTTGTGCCGCTATTGCAGCCCATGAGCGAAATGTATGTTTCTACTTCTAGCTCTAAATTTTAGTAGGTAATTGGTTGAACACAAATCAAATCTCTTATAAAACCCGATAATTAGAATCAGGCCTGTACAAACCCGACTAACTTCAATCTTCTTTAAGGTTTTCGTTTAATAAAATTTTGTGTTCAAGTATATCTGACCTGGAAAGATGTAGTTTATGGTATTTCTAACTTTAGCACCATTGAGCATCCCTAATCAAATCCTATGACATCAGCAAAGGACTTTTATTATTGTCGAAAACCCACTGAAGATCTTAAAGGGCTTTTCTCCTTTCCATTGCTGCAAAAATTTCTTGAATGCGAGTTAGTCAATGCATTTAAACAAAAAAATTAAAGAGTAGAAAAATTAAGCGTGAACAATCCTTACGTATGTAAAATGACAAAGATTTGTTTAATTGAGATAGAAAACAAAATGAGCCTAAAATCAAATAAGCTGAAATTTCAAAAGTTATTTTCGTAATTTAAATTCAAATGAAAATAGAGAAATAATTTTATTTTAGAAGATATGTAATGCAGAACTGAAACATTAAAAAAAGTTCAGAAGTAATATTAAACCATTATGTATCCTAAAAAAATTATTTCTATGTTTATTTATTTTCAGGTTACTTCAGAGAAACTTTAGGATCATATGATGGACTCTATTGTTTGTTCATATTTTTATGCATTGTGTGTGCTGCAATTATTCCTCTGATGTTTAGGCTCACCAAACATGCTAGAACAACCATTGCAAATGGTTCATAATTGAATACTGCACAACGACGTTCATTTTTTCTTTCAATTAAATTTTATTTAAAAGTGTTCACGGTGTTCTGTTTGAGCTCACTATTTTTTTAAAGCAGTCACTTCTTATTAACCTTGAAAGTTGTGTAAAATTTTAGTTTCTTGTTACCTTAGGATAATTTTTAAGTTTACTCCAAATCCACCTGCTGGTTTCCTTGGAAATATTCGTTAGTATGTAACACAGAAATATATACCTGTGTGGTTCACTGTTAGCACAAGAAGATTTTGGCGGTCAATGTCTAAGAAAATAGCCTTACTTCAAAGATTTTGATCTTCTACTGAAAAAGCCCACTGCAAGTATTTAAGTAATAATAGCCAGAGTGGAGGTGGTAGAACACAAAATAATGGTTAGTGAATTTTCACAAAAAGTATTTCGCTTATAAATAAATATGTTTTTTTCTCTTTTTTTAATTTCAGAGTCGTACAGACGTAAAACATACATTAATTACATGTATTAAAAATTATACAGCAGACAAATATTGTATGACTAGAATGCTGTGAGACAATTTTAAAACTCGTAAGGATGACAAGTTTAGTATCCCGTGTACCTGGAGCAATATTTAACAACAGTAGTTTTTAACTATAAAGGGCAAGCCTAGAGTTGTATGAAATCCTAGTTTTGGTTAATTAACATATTTACAGTTAATTACATACAACAGTTTTAAAAAGTAATAAATTCTAAAGAAGTTTAATACTTGTTTCATGAGAACAAAAAATATTTAACTACAAAACGAATTTAAGAAACAAGTACATTTACTTAATTAATTGTATTGATTTTTAATACAATAGTAATATTTAATATATTTTTAAATGCTTTTTTTAGTTTACATCTACGAAATATTAACATAAAAACGAAATGCGATTAAAATTTGCTAGAATGAAAAAAATCTAAAACATAATTTTTAATACCACGGCATTATTTAATTTGTTATTAAATGCCTTTTTAGGTTACAAAGTGGAAATTATATTTGAATTAAAAACAAACAGCGATTAGAATTACAATACTGCATGTTTCATAACCTGGCAACATCCTTATATTCAGACGTTTAGTATCTGTCACGAAGCGTTGATAATAAACAACTGTTTTTAACTCATAGAAAAAACGTTCTGTGTAGTATTATTTTTTTTTTCACATGGAAGAGGAAAAACAAGCTATAAATATTTGTCCATGCCAAGGTCGTGTCATCAACACCAACTTCTGATTAATCTTACTTATTACGACGACTGCTAACTGTCGAAGCTAATTTTGAAACTCGATGTGAGGATAATGTTTTTGGATCATATTTCTTTATCGTTATTTAAAAACTACATTGAATAGTGAATATTCAAGAAAACGTAAGTAAATAGATTTACAAATACATTTAATCTTACAATTTATATTAAGTTTTTTTTCTATAATTTATAATAATTTAAATTATATAATTAAGGAATAAAATTTTATTGGGAATGAAAAAAAATTAAATTTTATTAATTCTTTTTTAAAAAAAACAAATCAGTCTATTTTAAATATGCAACCGAAAAATATTTCATAAATAAAAAAAGAAAATTTTAATGAAACAGATAAACAAGAGAATGTTTCATTAACGTTCGTGGATATATTTTGTCAAAAGATGGACACAGCATGCTTTTAATAAAGCATTTAAGACACCAGATTTACAACCTTGAACTTTTCAGCTTATGTATCGTGGCAATTTTATCAAACATCATGAAGCAAAGATTAATAGGCATCATTAGTTTCCATGAGCAAAAATTGTAAATTTAAAGAGAAATTAAATAAAATAAATTATTAAAATGAATGATTGAATGAAATGAATGATTGAAGGAAATGAATGATTGAATGAAATGAATGAATGATTTCAATTTGAACTACATTTAAATAGAAATTATTTAAATTAAAAATTAATTCACTCTGTAACAAAAAAATCGACGCACCAAGAAGGAGTTGTCCGATTGAAACGAAAATTGGTGGATAGAACACGAGTGGAAATGCAACTA